CACCTAGAAAGAGTCTTATTTGGAAGATGTCATATAGTGAGAAGAATCTCTTCCACCTAGAAAGAGTCTTATTTGGAAGATGTCATATAGTGAGAAGAATCTCTCCCACCCAGGAAGAGTCTTATTTAGAAGATGTCATATAGTGAGAAGAATCTCTCCCACCCAGGAAGAGTCTTATTTAGAAGATGTCATATAGTGAGAAGAATCTCTCCCACCCAGGAAGAGTCTAATTTAGAAGATGTCATATAATGAGAAGAATCTATCCCACCCAGAAGGAGTGTTATTTAGAAAAGGTTTGATTTGTTTTGAATTTCGCGCAAAGCTACACGAGGGCTATTTCCGCTAATTTAGCAGTGAAATATTAGAGGGAAGGCAGCTAGTCATCACCACCCACTGCCAACTATTGGGCTACTCTTTTACCAATAAATAGTTGGGTAGACCGTACATTATAACGCCCCCACAGCTGAAAGGGCGAGCATGTTTGGTGAGACGGTGAATTACTTAGAAGAGAAAAGGAGGTTAGCAAGTTTCTGTTGTTTGCTTTCTTAAAGTATATTTTGGCTAGTTTGTAAAATCTGTCATTAGTGTAATGCATTTTTCTATATTTATGAAATTCGTCGATACGGGTACAGCTGGGTAGTTTTATATAATTTTGGGTGTTTGATTTCGAATTTTCTGAATTTTGATGTGGTTACGTTCACACATATTTAGAAGGGTTATATATCCACATTCTAAGGTAGGTCGTACTAGGGTTTTATAGATTAGTATATTGGTTTCACGGGTAGTATGCTTATGGCTTTTAATTTGTTAACAAAGGGAATGGCTTTACTAGTATTGTATATGTTCCATATGAGTCTAATGTCAAGTATGATACCTAGGTATTTAGTTGTTGTTGCTTCTTTTTGTTGTTGTTATTTTAATTGCACCAGCATAGAATTTAACTTTAACTAGCTTGGTTTGTTTGGATCTTCTAGTGGAGACAATTAGTTGTATTTTTTTCTTTGTTGTTTTTTGACAATTAAGCACCAGGGCTGTATTTGGTAGAGTTGGTATTGAAGGTGTTTATTTGCTTGAGGGGAGCTTCTTGAAGAACACCATGCCATTTGGAGCATCAGGTCTGTATTTGGTCTAGTTGGTTTTGAAGGTGTTTATTGGCTTGAGGGGATCTTTCTTGGTCTAGTTGGTGTTGAAGGTGTTAGTTGCTTGAGGAGAGCTTCTTGAATAACACCATACTAGATGAAGTATTATTCTTCATTAGGAGCACCAGGTCTGTATTTGGTCTAATTGATGTTGAGATTGTTTAGTTGCTTGAGGGGAGCTTTTTGGTCTAGTTGGTGTTGTAGGTGTTTAGTGGCTTGAAGAATAATCCTTGAGAAAAGCCATACCGCAATGTCATCCGCAAAATTTAAGTTTGTATGTGTGTTTGAATTTTATGTGATAACTCTAAATCCATTAAATATAGTATGTAAGTTAAGGGGCTAATAACAGAGCCTTGGGCCATTTTAGAAAATAGGCAGAAATAGTCATTTGGGTTTCCTTTTATTTTATTTGTTATTTAGGAAGTCAGGTGAGTATCTTAGGCAGAATTGGGGAATTTCAGAGTTGATTATTTTATATCTAATATCATCGCGCCGGACTAAGTCGAAACCATTTTTGATATCAATGAAAAAATACGATAATGGGGCAGTTAATTTTAATATTTTATTACCGTTTCAAACAAGGTGGTCGGATGTTTGTCTTCCTTTCCTGAGAATGTTTTGTATTTCAGTGAATAGTTTCTAAGAGACTAAGTAGTCACTGTGTGATTCTTCTTTCCGTTATTATTGGCTACTAAACTGATAGGTCTGTAACATTCTGGATATTGTGGAGTCCGAATATCTTGACCACTGAAGCTGTTGTATATTCTGCAGTGATGTGTCACGTAATATTAGTGTAAATATGTACACTAGATGTTTAAATAAGAAGTCAGATCCTTGTTTAATACATGCGTTAGAGATGCTGCCTTTGCCAGGTGATTTGCTTCTTACAGGTATTATTTATGTAGGAGTTTGTTATATAGTCACGTTCATGTGTTGTATGTGCAGGTGACTGCGTGATGTGTGTGTCAACTGGAATTTGCTGGTAGTGTTTAATTACAAGAAATATTTTTTCTACAGATAGTTTAAAGTTGTTATCGAATGTGTCTTGATCTGGTAGTGAGGACGTGTTTTGTAGACGTTCAAGGAAGACTACCTTTTTTTCTTCTTGTTTTGTTGTAGCTGTTTGGATGTTGTAATGAAAAGTTGAGTAAATTCTTTGGGTATGTTTATATCAATTTTCTGATTTTATTTTTTCTGCTGGATTACGATCATTCATACATGCTTTTCCAATTTCCTTGGTGGTGTTTACTGAGGAGTTGTGCTTCTGCTCTGTTGTTTTGTGTTTTTACTTGAACAATCCTAGTTTTAGTACTAAGTTTTACTGGACTAAGTTTTCTACTTCATTTGATTTTGTCCATGACTTCTTTAAGTTCCCATTTACAATAATTTAGTCTGATTATTGGTATAACTAATTCCAAAGTTTCTGAGATTGCTTTTGTGATGAGGTTTGAATATTTGTCTATATGAATGGCAGTTTCTGTTTGCAATAGGAGTTCAGGTGGTGATTTATAATCTATGAGGTTTTCGCGTGTTTCAACAGTTTTAAAGTTGTATCTTGTTTATTGTATGTAGTTTCGTGTCAACAGTTTTAAAGTTGTATCTTGTTTATTGTATGTAGTTTCGTGTCAACAGTTTTAAAGTTGTATCTTGTTTATTGTATGTAGTTTTCATGGGGGACGATGGGGGGGGGTTATGTAAACGTAACATGTGGTGGCAAATGGTCGCTTAACAGATCTTGAGATACATCGAAATATGAAAATTTTGTCAATTTTGACAAATAAAACTTTTAAAGCTAGCACTCTTGGATAGCTCAGTGACAGAGCACTTGTCCTTTCAGGCAGAGGTCCTTGATATAAGTCCCGGTTTTTTTCACTTATCGTATATATACCAGAATAGAAAGAAACCATCAAAAGCATTTCAGTACCAATCACTAAATTTAACTGTATCGCTTCCTAATTTCTTTATGTTATTTCTAATATAGGGTGATTATAAAGAAAATTTTCGCAATTCTGCGCGTCATATCTTCCAAACAGTACGACATAGGAAGGTGAATTTACACAGGTATGTTAAGGGTATCGTGTCGATGTAAATTCCACAGTTTTCAAACTAACATGATTGACTGTTGTATTTACAGCAATATAAAACTCGGGTATTTTGTATATTCTAACATAAATGAACTGCGGTTTTCAGTTCAAAACTGTGTTTATCTGATTACATTGTTGTGTTACGAAGTCAAATTTCTACATGTGAACGTAGATATACGCAATTCCACATGAAGACTTTGTACCAGTCAACACCAACACATTTGTGTTATATTTATTACCCAGAATGATTGTGTTGCTTTCAACTAGAATTTGTGTTACAGCTGTTCAAACACTAAACTCATGCTCCACAAAGCAAACATTTGGTTTTTAAAACAAGTTTTTTTTACTGTATACATAATATACATGTTGTAACTATTCAAACACCAAACTTCACATATACAAGTTGTGTGGTTTTTAGCACGACTTTTTACAGGTTATATATATTATTGGCATGTTGTAATAATTGAAACACCCGACTTCACACATGTATGGTTTTGCATACACTTTTGTTACAGTGTACACATAATAGACACGTTGTAGTCATTCAAACACTATACTTCGTATATATAAGATGTGTTGTTTTTAACACAAGATATTTTACTATGCATTGAGTATAGTTATTTAGTAAATACGTCTACAAGTATAATTAAACAGTATGTTACGACAGCGGTAGTCACGTGACGCTGGTATTACGTCATGATATTCTAGAAGGATCGGGGAACATCACGAATAATCCAGTATGTGCTAGGCGCCCTCTATTCCTGTATATAAGTGCGCCGGATAACGTGAAACAAATTATTCGGAATTAGAATTGCAGACAGGCGGAGACAGAGACTGACAATTGAGTCAAACGCGGTAGTGAAGTGCGTGAATCGTTGTGAATTCTAGCGTGTGTTGAAGTGTATTGCAAACTAGTTTTATTTAAGAAAGGACTTGTATCGCTGAAGTTTCTCGGAAATAACTTGTACGGAAAATTAACAAACGAACACAGACGTAACAAGTATTTACATATATGTGTTTAGTTTAGTTTACAAGTGTATTGAGTGTTGGTATAATAAGCCTAAAGTAAAGACGTAGTGTGGGATCACCTAGCCTAGAGCCAAGTGCCTAAAATTTATCATGAAAGTAAAAATAACGATTCAATTTTAAACTTAATCGTATCTGAATTAAGCTATTTTTTATAATTTTTTTTTAAATCAATGGAAACTTTTTCCAGTTTTGTTGTCACACATTTCATTTTATACTTTCGGTACATAGACTAGTACCAACAATTGCTAAGCAACACAACATAAAAGTCATTGTTGGAGAGTCGTATTACCAAAACGCACTGGCTTTTCAATGTATTAGTAGTTGTTAATTATTTACCAGTAATTATTCTATGAATACCTCACGAATTCATTTCATGTATGATTTTGATTGGCTCACAAAGGAATTTACCGACGATTGACTGCACTTCTCTTGCCTCTCTGTTACTCAAGCTTGATTCTTCAGAATTTATTTATTTCAGTTAGCTATGAAATGTGAGGTTAGGGCAGTGGTCGGCAACCTTTTTTGATCGCGGGTCAATTATATTTTTTTTTGAAAATTTAGCCTTGTGTTGGGTCAGTGATAATCATATAATTATTAAAACCGGTACATGTATTTTAAATGTGTATGTTTATTTACATACAAAAAAATTAATAGTTTGACCAGTTTGATATTTTCCCCTGAAATTGATCTTAAAATTCTCCGTAGCCGTGACTCTTTCCTTTAATATCATTGTTCTTCTCACATAGCCGAGAAATTTGAACTGAACAATGATTGTGCCCTTACGGGTTGCAATGGTGAAGCCAACGTTTGGCGGGTCAGCCAAATTATTGCCGCGGGTCATAGGTTACCGACCACTGGGTTAGGGTATACTATGAAGTGGGAGTGATAGTACTTGCCCCATCATTTTTGACGGGCAATACGCTAGTTACTTAATACTTCTAACTCAAAGATCTATACTTTGGTAGCAGTGTCAGTCAGTCGATAACATTTTTCTGACGTGATAAAATCTGCTGATCCTTACGTCGAACACTTTCTGATTTGTAGATTATAAAATACTACAAAAACAGAAAGGCTTAGTGTAAATTATGGATATATATTTATGCTATGAAAAATGTTTTACTTTATTAAAAGACTACAAGCAATGTTTAAATTACGATTAAACATGTTAAACATGAGAGAATCCTCAATAGCCGTGGAACTTGAGATTCTTTTAAGCAGGATTAGAGCAAATTAATCTATAGGACCATTTTTTTTTCTTTTTATTAGCTACATTTTTGTGCGCCAGCAGTATCAAGCATGGGGCGCTCGTATAGCCCATTCAATTTTATTACCCATCAAGATCTCTACCAGCCTAACCTCAAATTGAAATTGTTTTAGGTAAAATTAGAGTAAATTAATCTTGGGCGTGGTCTCAAATACATCAAACGAAAGGGTTTGGCCTCCTGAGTCCAAAACTGTAATTAGACCTCAAATTGATCAAGAGATGACGGAGCTATGAGCTAAACGTTTGTACTTAAAAAAAAAAAATAGAGCCGTTCTATGAACCGCTATGCCGCGGCTAAAAATCTAAACATTTCCGTCGACGCAAAGGTTTGGTTTGTTTGAAATTTCGCGCAAAGCTACACGAGGGTTAATTGTACTAGCTGTCCCTAATTTAGCAGTGAAAGACTAGAGGGAAGGCAGCTAGTCATCACCACCTATCGCCAACTATTGGGCTACTCTTTTACC